TAATATATATTATATAGAAAAGTTGTATACCTCATACCCTGTCTTATATCATCTCTGCCTTATATTACAATCCAAAAGCCTTGTCGAATGTATTTACAACTAGTTTTATCTACTTATCACAATTTCTGACAAATTGAACTTGAACTAGACATGCAATTTATTAATAAAATATATAAAACTATATAATTGTTAAGTTTTCGCAAAATAATTTGATTAGCAATGTAATTTGATTAGTATTGTAGTCATTACAGGTTAATGTGTCAAGCGGATATATCACTAGATAATTGATGCATGAGAGCGACAGGCAGTTAAACTGGTTTTTATTAACGAATACTATACGTATTATAAGTAAATACTATATATATATTTATAGATACATAGAATTAATATGAAGTGCTTATATTACTGCCTGATCAGTCTGTGCCTCAATACTAATTGGCTGCTGGCGGATATTATAAAATACGATCCAGAAGTTATTGAAGTTGCGCATTTACGAACCGTAAGTGTTATCTGTATATAATGTAATAAAATTTACTCTTCTACTTATGTCTCTCTTTATTGATTATCAGCCTGGTTTCATCACAAAGTATGGCTACAAGTGTGAGGAGCACAGAGTCGATACCAAAGATGGATTCAGTTTGACCCTGCATCGCATACCCAAGCCTGGGGCGCAGCCTGTGCTCCTGGTGCATGGTCTGCAGGACAGCTCCTCGGCCTGGGTGATGACGGGTGCTGGCCATGGCTTGGCCTTTCTGCTCAGCGATCGCGGCTATGATGTTTGGCTGATGAATTGCCGTGGCAATCGTTACTCGCGCAAACATCGCAAATTTCATATATTGCAACAACAATTCTGGGACTTTTCGTTCCATGAGATTGGCGTTTATGATCTGCCGGCGGCTATTGACTATGTGCTGGACCACAGCAAGGGTCACGATCAGCTGCACTATGTGGGCCACTCGCAGGGCACCACAGCGGCCTTTGTGCTGGGCGCCGAGCGACCAGCCTATATGAAGAAGATCAAGCTAATGCAGGCACTAGCTCCCGTTGCCTATTTTGAAAATGTTGAGCTCCCACTACTTCGAGCAATAGCTCCACATGTTGCAGGCATTATGGTGAGTTTCTCCTTGCAAATTAATAAATTGAATATTCAAATGAAAAATATTTTATTTTATATATTTATATATTATCATTATAGTTACTCAATATTCATATATGAGTACTCCAAAAAAAACTTTGATTATAATAATTATTTTAAACTCATATTTCTCATCTTTCTAACTCTAAAATTTCCATCGTATTTTACAGCGTTTCGCTCAAGCTGTAGGAATTAATGAAATACCACCGGAAACAGAAGTGTGGCGTGAGTTGTCATATAAATTATGCAGCTTTGCGTTTCGGTCAACGTGTATGGAGTTTTTAATGCAAATAGTTGGCACGGACGAGGAACAGATGAATAGCACACTCACTCCAATCTTTTTGAGCCAATATCCGGCTGGCAGTTCGATCAAATCCTTCGGGCACTATGGTCAGCAGGTGCTAAGCGGGGGCTTATACAAGTACGACTACGACAATCCGAATGTGAATCGGCGCTATTATGGCAGCCCAAAGCCACCGGCGTACAAGCTGGCCAAGATCGATTGCAAGGTCGCTTTGTATTATGGCCAAAATGATTTGCTCGTTTCGGTCAAAGATGTGCAGCAGCTGCGCAGGCAGCTGCCAAATGTCGTTCACGATGAGAAATTGGCCTACAAGAAATTCAATCATCTGGATTTCCTAGCTGCAATCGATGTGAAAGAGTTGCTCTACAATAGCATGTTTCAAGTTATGGAAAAGGTCGACAGAGGAGAGCTGTAGTTAAGAACGAATGCAGCTTATATTCGTATTGAACATATTTAATTAAAATGTATATGTAATATGTTATATGTATCTGTATAACACTTATCTGCCTCAGCCAGAAATTTTTCTTAGAGCGAATAAGTATTGACAAAAATGCAATTTATTTCCAACTCTTGCCATACACAATAAAAAAAAATCTTAAAGTGAATTAAATAAATTACAAGCAGAAATCCTAGCGATTCAGTAAGAGCCAAAAAGATGCCAAGATGGGGTAGCCTACACAATTTAGAAAATTTTATTTTATAT